ACGAAGACCCAAAGCAGCCAAAAATAAATAAATAAAATAAATAAATTTATAAGAAGTCAAAAGAAATGTACAACTGTAGACAGTCCAGTGAAATTCTAGGTCCACACTTTCTTCTACCTGACTTTAATTTTGGTCTGAGTCCCAAAATCATTGCCAGAAATGCTTTGAGTCACAAGGCATTGTTGTTCTTTATACTGGTACCTGCTTTTGGCTCATTTCCAAATTTTAGATTCCACGTAGTACTCTGACCTCATTGCATGTAATTTTATTTCTGACTTCAGCATATATTCAACACACACACACACACACGCACACACACACACACACTGCACATTTAAAGAGGAGAAGTGACATTACGGATAAAATGGTGGGGAGGTGGTAGGCAAGAAGGGCTGCCCTCTCTGTCTTCAACTATGTTTTCCTTCTTTTCCTTTCTGGACCACTGGCCCTCATTACCTTTTCCAGTAGGTACGTGTGAAAAGTGGTGGTGGTGGTGGGGGGGTGGATCAAGCCTTAGAATATTATAGAAGTACTTCTCAAGAGTCAGATGTTAGAGATTAAATTTTTTTTTTTTTTTTAAATTCCCCTAGCTTCCCTCCAAGCTAGGAAAGAGCACAATGGCTATAATTAGAACACAATAATGGGTTGGAGAGATGGGAGAAAGGCAGCAAAGAGATTGATTGTATTGGTGAAGTGTGTCCCTGCTGAATGAATGTGGGCAACTGATCACAAATATCCCAGAAGGAGGATGGCGAAATGTGGATCTACTTATGCCAAGGGCAGTTCTAAATGTGTATCCAGAGCGGGGTGTGTGTGTCTGTGTGTGTGTGTGTGTGTGTGTGTGTATGTGTCTTTGTCTTTGGATACATACGCTACAGTCCTTTATCTGTAATAAGAAAGCTGTTTGTCTGTAAAGTACATGATGATAATAATCCCTTCTAGGCATCTGTGACTTTTGATTCCTTTTCCACCTGTAGTCAGAAGTTGTAATTTATTATCTTGCAGGCCTTTTTGGACTCTAAGGGAGTTCAAAGTCATTTGACATTAGCTGCTTCTTTGAAATTAGTACATGTAACTATAAAATGAGGCACAAACCTTAAGTTCTAGACATATATCCATGTGGCATATAATTAAAGTGTGTGTAATAGAAATACTACATTTCAATAGCAATATTTTTATTACAAAGAATAACTTAGAAATTATTGCCAAAATCTAAATTGCACACAATCATTTCAAAAAATCCAGGAGGTTCTACTTAAAATGTTTTTGGGCACTAAATTTAAACAAACTTTATGCCTTAGAGTTCCTTGAGTTTTGTCTTAACTCTCAGAATTTCCTATAATGCAACCAACCAGAAAGTCTTTAAAATGGCAGAAAAATCTTTATTTCCTTCCCCAAAATATTTCATACAATTGATAATAAAAGTTGTATGTTAAGTTATTCTCAAGTGCTAGTGTTTTCAAATTATGTTCTAAATTTTTAAGAATTACCAATTTTCCATGAACTGTTTTCCCTTCCACCTTTTCCCCACTTATTTATTCAATAGTTTCAAGATTTTAAATGATTATTTCATCAAGTAAAGTCAACCTTAGAAATTTTAATAATTTATTGTATCACTCTTCACCTTAAGCAATTGTTTAGAATTGTTGTTGATCTCGACTGTATCTATTTACATATTATCCAGGAAAAGGTCATGGTCCTGTGTTCCCTTTTGGAATTAGGAGGCTTATAGAACAAGAGGAGATAATGTAGACCAGGGACAAACTGCTCTACTAATGAAAGATTTCTTCTTTTATTATAATTCTTAAGATGACGTAATAAATAAAGGTTAAATTGGTTTTTACCTACATTTTTTATGCCTATTATCAAAATTTCTGGGTGAAATATGGTAATTGGTATCTAAATAAGAGAACTAGAAATGGATGAAATATCATTGCTGCTGATTTATTACATACTCAAGGTACAGATCACAGTTTAATTTTATAAAGGTACATCCATAACTCCTCTTTTTCCTTTGTATCTTTTATGTATGTGTTACAGTTCCTTGAACAAAAGTTCTCTAACTCCACTTATACAAGTTGAGAGACTATAACTTACATATGCTTCTTTTCCCCCCTTGCTCCAGAAAAATCTCTGGAATTGCCCCAGAACTAGAAAAGCCTAGATTAGAATTCCTTGTAAACCTAGAGTAGAATGTGCATGCTTCTGCAAATGTATTTGGTAGATATATGTCAGGTTCTGGGACATCGTATTTGGCTGAGTATTGATAAGATAACCTTGCTCTGCCCAGGAGCTCAGACTTCAAACAATTCCAGTGCTCCAGGCACCTGCCAAACACCCTTCCCTCCTCTAAACAGAAAAGCGTTCTCTTTAATTCACAGTGAGTAATAGGCTTCCCAGTCTATTACAGAGTCAGAGAAGCAAACAAAAATCAGGGAGGTAAGCATATTGATAGTTGAAATATCTGTTGGCCTAACAAAAAGGAAGAAGACGTGAAAGATAAAATTGTGGATGTATGTAGTACCTCAGTGTCATTTAAAGTAAGATTAAATTTATCCACTGGAAAATAATTTTTAGTGAATAAGTAGGGAATTTCACTTATCGGAAAAAGATGTAAGTGTGGAAAACATCTTTCAAAGAAATGAAGTATTGTTTTCCCCATAGTATCACAAAATAGGTGCAGTTGTCAACTTTGTTTCTGCCAAGACTTGGATAGGATATAAAGCATTTGGGAAGGGGTATAGGCATAATTTTGAGTATATGGAACACATTTTTAAAATCGAAAGATAACATGGAGTCTGGAACGTTATGGACGTTAATGGAACAGATTCATGCATATTTAAGTCTCAATTACCTACATATGAATTAACTGCTTTGCTAAAAATAAAATATTTCTTATTCTAGGTTGGCATTCTCCTGATAGCCTATCTGTTTCTAGGCCACTTCTTTTTCATGGGTTATTGAATGAGCAGAGAATAAAGAAGCTAATGGCTACTCTAAGAATGAGGTGCAAGTATAAATAACAAATATATAAGTAAGGGAGATGAATTTTAGCCTTGGTGTACGTATATAAAAATTAGAAAAATATATCTTCTTTGGGGGAAATTATTTTAAAATAAATGGGAAACTGAGTTTAAAAATTATGTTTGTGAATATTTTTATTTCATGCAGAAAAAGCAGAGCTTAGAATAGTTGGTAAAATGACCCAAATTCTGATCATTAATTATAAATGTCAGAATACCACCTTGTGTTTATATAGCACCTGTTTCTTAGTAGGTGAGAGAACAATGACCCAGGATTTTTTGTTTTTATTTATTTTTGTTTTGTGTTTGACTTTTATTTTGTTACATTAATCAATACATGTTATACAACTGTGTATTTGCAAAGGTGCTGGTCTCATCTGTATTTTACCAATTTGAGAATATATATAGAAAGATAAATGAATTCTACTGGCTTAGAAATGACTAGTTTTCTCCAACATTGGTTGTTAGAGCTGCTGTTTTTATTTTTGCACCATCAGGTTTTTCCATGTTTTTTTTTTTCTTGTCAGTGATCATTTTCTTCTTCTTTTTAAATTTTTAATCAACTAGTCATAAGGCAGAGAAGAAAAATAGTCTCAATATTTTCATTGGACTTTTTTTCTATACAAATAAAACTCCTGAGTATCACTAATTACAAAGTAGTCTGTCTAATTGACTAGTTCTGCTTTTGAGACTCTGCAATTGCTGCGGTAACAATTTGCCACCAACTTGGAACTCTTGGTTTTGTTTTGCTGTGGAGAACAGCTTACTAAACCATATTTTTCAGTATTTTCAGGCTCGTTTACAAAGTCAGTGTCTTTCCGGGAACTCTGAAAGTAAGGATTTTGTCTTCAGTCTACCGATTCATTGGACAGACCAGTGTTGCAGAGTCTGTTTTGTTTATTAAATTTGCTTTGCAAAGAGTCTCTTAAAATATATTGGATTCTTCCAAACCCCATTCAACCAGCAGCAAGCCTCCCTCCACCCTGATTTTTTTAATCCAGCTTTTATTTTACCAGCATCATCATATAAATATTTGCTTATTGTGATCCTTATAAGCAACATATATGAAAAATGAATAGAAAAGAAAGAAAAGTTTATTTTCATGGTTTGCTAATTGTTAATAATCGTATTTAATTTTTTTTAGCATGCAAGGAGTTTGTTGAATTAAGCTTTACAGTGATTTATACTGATACTGAGTGCCACTGCCATATGAAAGTTTTAGTAAACTACAAGTTGTCTAATACAGAGTTTTTAAACTGCATTTTGATTTAAAGAAATTCAGTTGAGCACAAAGTTTGACTAATTTTACAATTTATAAAATAAATAGAGAAATAACTTTAATGCAGTTTATTACTAGTGGTTCGAAAGCCACTAGTTAACAGCATCTGCCTTTATTTTTATTATGTGAGCTGTTGTGTACATAACATTATTCAATATGATAACATCTTCACTATTCTATTCTAGTTTCTATCTGTTACTTTTCAAAGGTCCTGGAAAAATAAATTATTATGTTTGCTTTGTAATAATGCAATAAATCTGTTTTTAAATTATGATCAACCTTTTTTAGCTTTAACAAACTCCGTAAGAATTGCCTACTTATTTGCTTTGGGAGGAAAAAACATCTGGCGTGTAGTGCATTATCATTTAGTGATTTATGTCAAGCAGTAGCACATATACACTTAGTTCCACAGTTTGTGTTAACAGCCATTGTTGGACCAGGCATTTCTCCAAAGCTCATGAGTTAGGGACTGGTAATTATAGTAAGTCGTGTATTATAAATAATGCATGTATGTTCCGCATGAGCTATGTGGGATTTCGGCCCATTTGCTAGAACATAGCTGCATAATGATTTGTTTGGATTTTGTTGCAGATGATTGATAGTGCAGAATGTTGGCAATGATGTAAATTACTGTTGGGCTGCCTTGCAAATTTCAGTACAAGTGGTGATTTCTTCTCTTTTTCTGTGTGCTTGTCTAGTCTCGGCAGACACCTGAGGGTGAGTTCCTTCCCCTTGATCAACTTGAACTGGATGTAGGTTTTAGTACAGGGGCAGATCAACTTTTTCTTGTTTCCCCCCTCACGATTTGCCACGTGATTGATGCCAAAAGCCCCTTTTATGACCTATCCCAGCGAAGCATGCAAAGTGAACAGTTCGAGATTGTCGTCATCCTAGAAGGCATTGTGGAAACAACTGGTGAGTAAAAACATAGATATATCATGACGTTTCTTTATTCCATAATAACATTATATTATATGCACAATACCTATCATGGTTTGGGCTAAATGTCTCAGCTCGCAATAATGAAAGTAATGACTTGTCTGTTATTTCTTTGTAACATTAAGTTGATACTGCTTTGAAAATGAAGATTTACTGTTGTGATGATTGCATTTGTAATGTTAACTCAGAAATACTTACTGCAAAAAAAGAAAGAAAAGGAAACTGAGATGACTCCTAGAAATGATTATGATGTTCTAGTTTAACTGCAGACTTGGATTTCCTATAATCATATATTTTTTAAAAGATTTAAGGTTAAAATAAATTCAGGGTAATTAGTGAGCAACCTGAACTCAGCATGCGTATTCTTGCCTTAGGGATGGTGATTCGGGTGTCACTGACAGAGCTTTAATATGCTACTATATGCAACCTCAGTGGAAAATTCCGTGTGTGTGTGTGTGTGTGTGTGTGTGCGCGCGCGCGCGCGCCCGCCCGTGGGCGCGAACCACACTAAAGTAGCATTTTAATTTCAAAGTGGGTCAGTAGATTTCCCCAGCTGAACCTTGACCAAAAATTTTTTGAAAAGAAATTTTCCTTTTCGGCTTTGGTATAGCTATGTGCTGTATGTTACTTCTTAAGATGTGATATAGCGTTGCTATGCTGCAATACCCACAGTTTGCTACTCTCTGAGGAGAATAAGGTTGGCAAAGGAAAGAAACAATAAATCAGAGTATATTATTTGGGGCCTAAGCATTGCCAGTTGGTTTGGAACCTGCTGGATGCTTGAGACTAATAATGGAATATTTACATAATTATATCTATCTATCTTGAGTTTTACCCTTGCTACAAGTAGTGAGAGAGCAAGAAATACTTTAGCTTTTAATTTTTTTCTACCAATATCATTCTAATAATCTTAAAGTGCTAGTTATTATGTATAAACTATAGCATTGAAAGTAACATCGGCAATAGCATAGATACATTCAAGCCTTATATCAAGGTGGGAGACATTACATAATGAAAGTATCTCCCATCTTGATATAAAGCTTTGTCCAAGGGGCAGGGGGAGGCAAGCCACTGTAATCTTATACATCTGTTACATAACACCGATTTGAAATTTGGGCAAGATACTTAATCTCCGTAAACTTTTTTTCTCATCTCTCTAGAAGGAGAATGATATAATAATCACTTTGAAGCTACCTGTTGTATTACTATTATTTTATTTTCATTAGTGCTTCAGTTTAAAATTTAAGGTTTTTGAGAACAGTGAGTAAAGAATTCATCAATCTGTATCTGGGATTTGATTTCTGTGGACAATTTCATGGTTTAAATTCTCCAGTTTTTGAACTTAAAATTGAATTGATGTCATAGTATATTTCTAAAATATCATATATTGATAAATAATGAAACCAATTTATAAAGGCTTCTAGTTCAAGAAATCTTTACATTTAAATTTTAGTTTTTATTTGTCTTGTTTATTGAAGTAATAATACATTGTTAGAGCTTAAACAGCAGATTTTTTACTGATTTATTTTTAAGCATGTGGTTCTATCTTTGACACAGCTGGTTATAGTTTATTAATTGCTTATTATTATTCTAATCACTGTCACGAGTGAAGTTTCTGTTTCACTTGACAGTCTTAGAAATCTTTCACTAGTTCTATCTATCTATCTATCTATCTATCCATCCATCCATCCATCCAACCATTTTTCCTACTTATCTCTGGTTAGTGTGTATTTCTTAAGAATGAGAAAATTTTTCTACAAAATCACAGTGCAATTAAGAAAAAAATCAGGATATTAAACAATGATACAGTACTATTATTTAGCTCATAGTCTACCTTCACATTTTATCAGTTGTCCTAGTAGTTTCCATCATAGCCCTTTTTCCCTGGTTCATCAATTTAAGGATTATGCCCTCATTTGTTTACTTGTATTCTCAGTAATTTCCATCATAGCCCTTTTTTCCTGGTTCAACATCAATTTTAGGATTATGCCCTCATTTGTTTACTTGTCTTCTCAGTCTCATGATAAAATAGTTCCTCAACCTTACTTTGTGTTCTTGACCTTGATGTACTTGAAGAGTACAGGCCAGGTATTTTGTAGAATGTCTCTCAATTTGGATTTGTCTGAGGCTTCCTTATTCATCATATATTTTTTTGATTTTTGACTTCTACATAGGCATCTTAAGGGAATATTGAATCAGGTTGTTTTTAAAATACGCCTGTGTATTCTTGACTTAACTGATGTGTCTTCATCAGATTTCAGAGGATCATGTTTAGTAAATGATATTCTACATAAAGTCATTTGGAGTTTCGTAACATTAAATTATTCATTAGGACTGTAGATTTCATTTTACCATTTTCTGCCCTCTCTCTCTTTTTTTTTTTTTTTAATTATGAACTGGCAGAGACTACTTTCCACAGAAAATGTGAAAACTTGACTGGAGACTGAATTTCTTATTTAGAGATTGCCTTTTATGGAGAAAAGATTAAAGCCTGCCTCCTCTTAACCTCTTAACTAAGCCTGTTTTCTAGATTTAGTATAGCAAGAATAACAGCAAAAACATTATGAATAATTTTTAGAATTTATTTTGTGGAAAATGTATCTGACATTTTGTTTGTGTATATGCCCTAACTGATTAAATCACACATTATTCAAACTCTGAAAAATCTGTCTATATTTTCAGACCTCCCTGAGTCTGGTAAAAATAACATAAACATTCTTATGTCCATATGATCATTTAAAGTTATACTGAGATTTATTTAGATTCATTTTTCAGGATGTTTCCTCCTTTATCCTCCCATTCACAATACTTTCTCACAATATTTATTGCTTGGAATAAGACAGATATGATCTTTTGTGATGTTTTGAGACATCAATAATACTATTTTGGCTCCAGTGTTTTTTGTTATACAGGCTTGTGACTAAATGTTAACAATGTAACTTTCCATCATATTTAACATTAAAACACCAAGTTTTAAAATCATTCATTCATTCACTAGACAAATAACTGAATGTATGCTGTGTGCTTGGAAATATTTGAAATACTGGCAATATAGTGGTGACCAAGACAGGCAGAATCCCTTTCCTTATGAAAGTTATATTCTAACTGGGAGGAAGACTGCAAAACAAAACAAAAAAATAAATAAGCAAGGTATTATCACATAATAATGTGTCAGGAATAAAAACCAAAACAAAACAAGGTTATGGAAAAAAGAGTGCATCCCAGGCTTAGGTTGACAGTTAGGAAAGGTCTCTCTGAGAAGGTGACACCTAAGCAGAGACCTGCCTATCAAGAAGGACCTCCTGGGCCTGTCTGGAGGGAGAACACAGCAGAGGCTGAGAAACAGCTGGTACAAGGGTCCTGAGTCAGGAACCAGCCTGATTGATTCCAGGAACTAAAAGAAGGTGGTGGTGGTTAGAGCAGAGTGAACAATGTGGAGAGTGGGGTGAGGAGAAGTCTGAGAGGTCGGGGGTGGGGTGTGGGTGCACCTCTGCACTACAGATGATTGCATCGCATCAACAGCGAGTGCTGGGATTCGATTCAAAAGCAAAGCCTGCATTTAAATGCTAGAGTAATAATTTAGTAATCTCAGACTCTATATAACAAAATAAAACACACATTTTTTTCCCCTAGTGGATTGCATGTAGTTTATTTAAAACCCAGTGACCCCAATGCCTAGGGAATGCATAAAACTTTAGACCGTTACCACTTTTCCGTATTAACAGTACTACCTACACAGTCCCCAGCCCCCAAGACAGGCACATAATTGCTCACTTTGCTGCGGTCCTCTGATGAGAATCTTCTGATCTCATTTAGTTTTTGCTTCTTCCCTTCCTGTGGTCTCAGCGGGAGTGGTAGTGGTGGTGAGGAGGGAGATGAAAAATTAGATTTCTCATTTCCTTGAAAGTTTCAGCTTCCAGCTCAGGACTCACAATAATTATTTTCCCCACTTCCTTGGAAATACTCCTCAGTGATCACGTTCAGGGATTGTTGCCTTCTTTGCTTCCAATGAGTTGGACTTTCACTTCCAACAAGGAACACAACATTTGCCTCTTCATGAATAACCTTTGCTTCTTGGCTCACGTAGCAAATTTCTAAACATAGGTTACCTCTAACTGTTGCTCTCTTTGCTGATTCTCCCGGGAGGGAGAACACTGCTAGAGGCAAACAGCATTGCAGATTTGGCTCATTAGAACTCGATGCTTTCAAACTTCAATCTGCTCTCTGCTGCTATTTGGCAGTCTTCTTAATTGTCTTTTCTGCACTCCCAGGCTCTCTCCCCATGGGATCTATTTGAGACCTTTTCTCTCCTTCCATGCCCCCAGTCCCAGCTGTCCTATCCCTTCCTAGGCCTACTACTCTCCACCTAGTTTATAGAAAAGAATGTGACACTTCAATTTGTATACTTTTTTTTTACTCTCCTTATCCTTTTCTCATGGTTATATCCCCTTTTTCTTTGCTGGTGTCTGTGAGGAAAATGTCTTTATTCTTCTCCAAATGCACCTGCTTTATAGTCATGTTTATTACCTGTGACTCAAGCGCCAATACTTCCTATACCTAATACCTAAAATCTCTTTGACTTTCTTTGTTCTCAGACGTGTCCACGTCTTTCTTCATGAAAAACGTAATCCGGTTATTTATTCCTTTATACTCAAGGTTCTTTCTGGGATTCAGAGACACCACATTTTCCCTCTCCCTCTTTTTCTGTTTCTTCTAATTTTTATTTTCCAGGTGTTCCTTATACCCTGCATGACTCCCTCTTCTTATAAATTTTTCCTGGTTCTCTGCCCTTGACTTCTTTCTTCTTGAATCTAGATACTCGATTTTTAAAAATGAACCCACAAAGTATGCACAAGTCCATTATTTCTTTTATCTCCAGCTATGAAATCTCTCACCTGCTGTGGCTTTATATATGCCATCAATTTCCAGGACGTTTGTCCACTCAGATGTCACTATTTTAATTCAGAGTCAACTTG